TAGCACACCTCTCTAATAAGTCTTGAGAACACTCTTTGTGCCTACCATTAATCATGAACATTGAATCCCATGGGCATGTTAAATGTGCAACTGGAAATTTATGCTACCTGTAGGGACCGTTTGGTTAGCAAAACCTTTTCCTTAATTTTTCTAAATTTTTTTAATGTTATTTATTCATTTTTACATGTTAATATTCAATAAAACAAAGATAAAAATGATATTTTTGGTCATTATTTTCTTGATATAATTTTTAATTTATAAATTTTTCTTTTTACACTTTTTGAAAGGAAAAAATTTTCTTTAAACTTAATTTTACGTAAAACCAACTTCACAACTTTCTTATTAATTTTTCTTATACTAATTTTTTTATCAAATATTGAAAGTTAACAACAAAACAGAATTTTAACAAATTAAACTTTGTTAATTTGGTTCAATAAAGTTAATAAAAAAATTAATAATAAGTGATATGACATAAAGTGTATGGCATGATGAATTTGAGCATTGGTTCAAGTTCATTGCATCACATTTGGCCTCCGCTATTGCTCCAAAAATTCTTCCGGTCATTCTTTGTACCTATCATTAATCATGAACATTGAATCCTTCGGCATGCGCTCCGGAAATTTCTGCCACCTTTAGGCTTAATATTCCTGTTTCTTCATGCGCTTGTGGTGTTTGCTGGGGTATTTGTTTATGTACTACTTTTGATTTATTTTATTTGTCTTGATTCATGATACATATTTTTAAGTAATTTTTTTTTGTAATATATAAATAATAATTTTAATTTTTTATAAAATAAAATTATTTAATAATAATTACATATAATTTAAATTATTATATATATACATGATAAAAAAATATCACCTAAAACTACAAATTGCAACCAGTAAAATGTAGCAGTATTTGGCTGCAAAGTTATCTATATGATTCTTAACCTGTGGCTGTATCTGTACTTCTTGTTCTTTTGAATGTGCTTCTTATCCATTAATTATAAAACGGCATGCTCCAATCTAATGACATGAATCTTAGGTTAAGGTCATTCATCTCTTGTTGATTTTGTATTTGAGTCCTATAAAATTTTTCTCCTTTTTCCCGATTAATATATAAATAATTTCATTTTAGGTTATATCCCTGATTCAGTCCCTGAACTTTCATTTTTGGATTAAAAATACCCTCAAACTAAAAAAAGTACTAAAAAAATCCCTAAACTTCAATT